ATTCGGCTCCAGTCACTATCACTGATTAAACATGCTCCACTGGTTAGGACATCGCTCCGAGATCATAGGTTGCTTACAGAAAATCTTACAAATCGTCCACCAACACAACCCTCACATCGACAGCAGGATTCGAAAATATGATCTCTTGATATCTAATGGTGATGTCATGGCGATAAGGGATCATATTAAGCTCGTGGTCAATCTGGTTACATTAAAAAGCTTTAAGAAGGTGAGTTATTATTAAATTTTTTTTTTTTTTAAAAAATTCTTACCATTTGAATGGTGGAATTCAAGAAGTGGGAAAGGGGAAGGGTATTTAAACATAAAATCTCTAATTTCCAAAATGTGTGGAATTCAAGAATTTTTGTTATTATTAATTAGGATGATTTTACTGCAATAATATTTTGTCCTCTCAATGGTCAAATTGTTTAATAACAACCTCTTGAATCACCCCCATACTTGCAGATTTGGGATGTGAAGCACAATACTGCGAATTGCATCTTAGGCTATGTGAAGAATTCAATGTTGTGAATTGTGCATCATTGAAAGAGACGTATAAAAGAAAATCTTGTCCTTGGCTATTTCGGACCAATGGAATCGTTATGTTACGTGGACCGCAAATGGACATATCCTTTCATGGTCCATAATAAGCCATTTGTTCTCGATTCACGGATCATTTGATCATGTGTGGCTGGTCCATTCTGGGATTCTCGAATATACCAGAGACTTAATTATCAAAAAAAAAAAAAAATTCAGATGAGGAAACCATTAAGCCCACGATAAAATCAGCAAGTTTTAAACTATAATAAAACCATATAAGAAAAAATAAGCTAAATTTTTTGAACTGGTTGGGCTTGAAAGTGGCAAGAATCTGATAAAATCACATGGAGGTTACTAATTACTTAATTAGTACTAACTAATTTTCTCTTTTTAAAGTCGTTGAGAGTTGAACGAAGAAATTATTACTGAAATTATATCTTCAACTCATATAATAGAAGTTACAGAAAACATTATTATATTGACTAAAATGTTAGCAAACGAGTTAAGGCCATCTTCGAATAGCAAAAACAACTGGGCAAAAAACACTTAATCTAATTGGGTCCTCCTTTAATATAAGCTAGCACAGGATTAGTGTAGATGTTAAAAACTGATTCAAAAAAAATGAAAAATGAAAAATGAAAAATCAGAATCAGTTAAAACTACTCTTAGGTAGATTAAGATTTTTTTTACTTTTTTTTACAACTAAAAAATCTATAATCTAAATGCAAAAGTCAGGAAAAAATTACGAAAACAAAATCTAATTTTTCGAAATCAGAATTTAAAATCAGATAATAAATTAAACAAGAACAAACTTAATCTTCTGAAGTAACTCTTCTTCATATACGAACATAGTAACTCTTCTTCCTATTCAGTTGTAAAACATAAATTGTGTCAAGAACTTGGATTGCCATATGCAAAAAAAACTTCACGATGAGTCATTTGCTTTCAAAATCTCAATCTACGTTACTTTTAGAGTTCTATCACTATTCAATACTTTATTTCAGTTCACTGCATATTCTGTGTGCATTCAAATTAAGGATATATCCTGCATCATAATCAAATGGTGGAACGTATTTTTCCCACTTACTGCGAAAGCTGTTGGACTAGGACTCATGGCTGAATTCCATGAAGTGCGAACGAAGTTAGCTCATTAAATAGTTGTCCTAGGTGAAGACTTTCGAATTATACAGATTAAGTTTTTGGATTTATCTTCTATACACTGATAGTGTATACACTTTTATCATTAGACGCATGACACATAATCTGAATTTGAATTTAAAATCCAAATTTTACATATGTGTCATATATCCAACCGTAATAGTATTTACACTATCAGTGTATATAAGATTAACTCTAAATTTTTTATACTATGTATGATAATTAATTTCAATTTGAATTCATATTCCAAATTTTGCACATATAACATGCATTGATTCCTATTAGTTTATTATTTATACGCCGCTAACATAGATTAAATTAATCCCATATATATGAAATAGGTTAAATCTTCAATTTTTCATTCTAAATACACGTGTATGGATTCAGAATGGGAGTGTAGATTTAACCTTTCATAGGAGTTGAATTTAGCTTTTCTTTATTAGCATTTTGTGGAAAGCTAGTCTACTATAGAACCTTGGAGAATCAGCACCTTAATTCACCTTATCTATGGTCATCAACATTTAGGCTTGACTTGCTAGCTCATAATAATTTACAATCTTGTGATATAAAAGAAATGTTTAAATAAGATTGCTCGAATATACTTAATTTCAAGTTTTTCAGCTGAGGAATACACCCGTGGCACTGGCTTAAAGATTACAATTTCTTAGAACTTGGAAGAATAACTCATCAATAGGGAAACGAAGAAAAAGGAGAGAAAATGCAAGGAGAAAAAGGGCAATATACACAAGGTGCAAGAAAGCATGCAGTATAGAAATTCTCCAAAGTCCAAATCATCTCCACACTAGACTCCAGAAATACAAAAGAACAAAGTGAGAAAAAGCTCTTATAATTAAGAAAGTGAAATCATGTATCCAAGGAAAAAAAAAACAATAGTAATAGGCTTGCCATTAGGGGTGTATTCGAGCCGAGTCGAGCTCGAGTACGTACTCGAGCTCGACTCGGCTATAATATAATTATACTCGAGCTCGAGCTCGAACTCGATCGAGTCGGAGAATCACAGCTCGAGCTCAAGCTCGATCGAGTCCTTAAAAAGCTCGAGTTCGACTCGATAAGGGTATTCACCGGTAATTTCTCAGAATTTATTTACCTATATTAGTAATTTTATATATAATTTTTTTATGTGATACTCGATAGAATTCGTTGAGCTCTCGAGTATCAAATTTTTGAGTTCGAACTCGACTCGATAGCTCTAACGAGCAGCTCGAGATCGAGCTCGAGTTCGATGAAGCGAGTTCGAGCTCGAGCTTCTGTTCGAGTACATATCGAGCTCGAGTCGAGTAGCTTGAATCAACTCCACCCCTACTTGCCATAGGTCAAAATCATGATAAAGTATATAATAAGCATCCCAAGTCAACCCTACAATATGAAGCAACATTAAACCAACAGTAATGAAGAAACTAAGTCAGAAAAATACTTAATTACTAGTATATTCTTTTCAATAATAATAAAATGGCATATATTTTCCATTAGAATGACAATATGCAATTATTGTATGGTATCTCCGAATAGATACATACAATCATGTAAATAGAATTTTTTTTATATAGCGTAAGTAGAGGGATTTGAATCGAGACCTCTCACTTACAAACACTCTCTCTCGAACCACCCAACCCCATCCCTTTTCTTGTGTAACCAGATACTTCGTTGAATTATGTAATATTAGTAAATTAGTGTTGAATTATGTATGCCATAAATCTTGAAATAGACCTCTGGCTTAAAGAACACTAAGAAGTAACCATCACCATCACCATTATTCATTACTCTACCTCCGAAATTTTCCGCAAGTTGAATAGCTAAAATTGTCTATAAAAAAATGTGTCTAACAATTTAGGAAACCATCAAGAAAATAAAGTGTTGAAGGATGTAACCTAGTATTAAGTTCTTTTAATAACTTGTCTTATTCTCTACATGAAAAAAATCAATAATAAAGTTACAAATCATGTATATACGCCAATCCAACTGGTTTTATTCAAACCCCATATCCAAATCCGTCATATTATTTTCAGTCTTGGCTTAGATTTTGAGATTTCCCTAGTAAGATGAAAGAGGGATGGGATAAATAGTTGGGGGCTGTGCTTGTTGAGGACAGTAAATTGTAAGATCTGGTTAAGATTTGCAAGACCTTTTTCATGTACATTTTCACTTATGTGTAATACGGACATATTGAAAATAAAAATAGCTTACTAGCTAATAATGAATAAATATAGCCTTATTACTTCTTGTTAGAAACTTAAAAATAACTCTTTCTTCCTCTTAAAAGTTGCATTGAAGTTATTTACAAATTTTTAACACTTATTAACATATTACTACACAATTTTCAAATTAATAAATTTTAAAATATAATAATGCTTATGGTTATCTAGACTTGTTGGGTTTTTTTTTTTTTTTTTGTGTGGTTCATTCATGTTGAAGCCATCAAATTTTGGATCCAAATTTTGGTCGGAATAAATTTATAGATTTTAATTTGAGTTTAGGCACTTTCACCAAAAACTTGACCATTGACATACCTAATTACATGCATTTAAGGACTTTCATCCTTAAACTCAATTCACCATCACCATCACTCCTAAAACCTTTGAAATCATCATATTTAGGAAGATTTGGAAGAAAATTTTGACTAATACGGTCAAGTACTAAGTTGTTTATACTAATTGTCTTATTCAACCCAAAAAAAGAGGTAGCACTCAAAATCCTCCGCCATCACCCGTGTAAACAAGTGGAAGGATTCAAAGGCAAAATGAACAAGAATTCATCAAGTAGCCACAGGGCCAAGGCAGCCCAATCAAAAACCAATAAGCCAATAGGGAAAGTTTACCAAACTTTTCAACTTCCAACTACTAACCAGCTAACCAACCTTTCCCAGCTTCCCAGCTTCCATCTTTTCTCCTTTCCCCAAAATCTTGGCCATTCAAAAATATTTTAATAAAAAAAGCCATCTCTAAATATCTCAAAAAATAAAAAAATTACTACCACTAAACACACACCGAAAAGAAAATTTTAAACAAAAAACGAATTCGGTTGAATTATTATTTTTAGAAAATTTTATAGAAAAATATATTATAATAATTTAATGTGTGTAAGATAAAAAAATAATTAAAAAATATGTTCATGACAAATATCAAAATTTTTTTTATGAAAAATCATAATCCAAACAAAGAGTTGCGTTTTTTTTCAAATTTCGATAAAATTAATTGCAGAGAGGCATTCATCTGATTCAGTGGGGCTCAGGTAAAATAAGAATTATATTGTATTGAAAAAAAAGGTAAACAAGAAACCAGAAACGTAAAATCTAGACAAGCTCGTGTCTTCTCCTACATTCAAACCTTTTCCTACCGAACAAGACAAAGACTAGTTAGCAACGAACTCTCCGTCACGTTTCTTGATCATAGTTATTGACTGGCCAAAAAACCCCTTTTTCCCAGATAAAAAAGGAAATTACTGAAATAAAAAAGCAGAAAACAGAGGAATTCTCTGTTTTTTCTGCTTCAAATTTGAGATAATTATAGTGCAAAGACTCTTGCTTTCTGGTACTTTTTAGCTTCTTCTTTCTTGATTTGAGGTTTGTTTGCTTCCCCTCCTGTTTTAGCTTGTGGGTTTCCATTTTTTCTTGATATTTTGTTGGGAAAGTTGATGCTCTGTTGGTTACTGGAAAAGCAAAGAATTGAGTGAAAGCAAAGGAAACGATAAATTTTTTTTATTTTTCTTTTGCAAAAACTTGATTTATGAGCTCATTCTGTAGAGAGGGCGAGAAAATTTTAGCTGAAGTTTTAGCATTGTAGTCTTTTCATCATAGTTTCTGGATTTTAGTAGGAGAAATTTAAATTTTTATTTGTTTATATTATTTTTACTTCGGAGTGGGAAAAGTTGGGTTAATGATGTTTCTGTTATTTAGTATTGGCTTCATGCTTGGTAGAAATTTTGTAAGAAAGAAGAAACGAAAAAAAAAAAATGGTTCTATTGAAAAGAAGGTGCTTTCTGGAAATAATGCTTAGCATTCTACCGTACAAAGAGAGTTTGAATATCCCATTTGTGCAATGATGTGTTTTTGGACGGGTCGTATTAGAATACGAAAGTTTGCGACTCTGAAATTAATGATGTTGGAACTGAATGGAGGATTGCTTTTAATTGCTTGTTAAATTTTGGTTGAATCACATTCTTGTGTGCTGCATTATGTACTTGAGATCAATTGATGGTTGATCAGTCTTTTTTACTGTACTATTCTTTGGGGCTCAAATAAGTTCGTTATAGGACATACTAAGTGCTGATTGTTTGTCTCTTATGTGTAGAGAAGCTAAATTTGTGCTCTAGTGGATGTAGCATAATCAGTCTTTTGTATAATCCAAGTGTTTAGAAGTATGAGGATCTGTTGATTATCAGGTGTTAAAGATGGAAGAAAATGTAAATAGGATGGAAATCTGGGTACATTTGTATTTTGCTGCCTGCAGTTCCTTGCGTCTTTAGAATGGTGATTTTCCTCTGGCAAGCTGGTTTTAGGCTGTGATGCATTTAAGTTTGGCAACAGCATTCTGAATACCTATGAAGGGGAACATTTTTGCATGCTCATCCTTCAATAGTGGCTTTGTTATAAAGATTGAGATTATAATGGAATCAGGTTGAATAAAGAACAGGTTCTCGCTGATTGAGAATTAAAGGGTTACATGAATTCCTTAAGTATATCGGCATAAAATATTGGAGAATATAAGCTTCTGCAAGTAGGTGATTAACTGCGGTAACTTTTATGTAGAGTCCTATGAACACTAGTGGCACTCCGGAGAGAGACAAGATTTTAGCTATTTCATTTGATGGAATTCCATATTCTTGCGATGTTGCAAATATTATCTTTTCTTACCACAGAATGTAATTTCGCCTTGTGTTCTCATTATCTGGACAATAGGAACAACATGCAGAAACTTCGATTTTGCCTATTTTATGAAACAATAAATCAAATCTTCAATCTTAATAGTGTTCTTTATTTCTGAGATATCTTTTTCTAGATTACAATTATTTGCTGCAGGAAGTATCCATTCAGAAGCCTCTATTGCTGGATAGCTGTTTATTGGACATGACTATAAGTTCTCTTTGCGATCTTGAAGATTTACGTGGTTGATGTTGCCATCATTTTTCACTTTGTCCTTTTGTAGAAGTCTTCTTATCTGACAAGTGCTTCCTTCTTTTAAGTTAGCTTCTTTAATAGTATCTTTTTGGTTTTAAGCTGTTGAATTGGAGAGTGCTGCTTTTTGTGGGGTTGCAATGAAATACTTGTTGTCTTTCAGTAGGATTTGGTGTTTGTTCAAAATAGTTTGGGCTGTCTGAGATGTGTCAAATACCTCAAATGTTGCATTTCTAATGTTCATATCTGAGCATTCAATTTGTGTTGTATCTTTATTCCAGCTTGAGTTGTTGCATCCGCTTCCAAGATGTCAAGCTTGGAGGAGCCCATCAGTCTGGACAGGTTGCCAAGTTTGAGCAACATTGATCATCATAGGTTCTCCTCCAGTGCTTGCAGACCCAGAGGAGAGGATCTGGGAATGGGACACCGCTGGATTGAAGGGAGAAGCTGCAGCACATCCAACAGCTGCGAGTAAGTTTTTCACCATCATTTTATCTGTACTTGCTCTGGAGTGAGCTTTCTTAAATAAACTTTATCCTCCTGGCTTCATACCATTGACTGAAATCGTTCCAACTTAATCTATGTGCACGAGTGTGTTGCTTTATTCTTGTATAAACAGTTTCAGTTCCTATTGGAGTAATACCATTTGCCTGCTCTTTCCATAAAGACAGATCTGAGGAGATTTTTTCTATGATTTCTTGTTGCATTAATCAATAACTCACATTGTCCATTTTTATTCTTAAGACTCATGCTGCATGATATTGAGAGATGTCTGAAACATAACATGTTAGTGTTTTGGTTTTGTTCAGCAGCATTTTCATGTCTGAGTTAAATTGACGGTGATATTCAGTTAGATTGATTATCAGGTTGTAGCTACTTATTGGTATCTTGTCTTATAGTGCTCAAGGAATCTGAAAATACATGTTTTTTTGATTTACTTCCTCCTTCAGCATTCATAAGTGCAAGTCTCTTTACGTTTTTTTTAGAGGACTTGGTTTTTCCAGTAAATGAATACGAATGTCTTGTAATATGTCCAGGGAAGATTTTGAAGAGTACAACAGAGAGAATTTCATGTGGTGGAAGCAAAGAAGAGGCACATCACGAAGAGGGATCTCCAATGGAAGGACATTAAGTTTGGGCAGGAATCAAGTGCCAAATGGAAATATCAGTGACTCACTTTATTTGCCTGATGATCAATACAATTCCTGTAACTACAAATACACCATGGACATGCCAAATAAGGTGATTTGTTTAGAAAGTAATATTTTCTATATTTGTCCTGTAGACGTGATATATTTATCAAATATTTACCATTTCTGGATCTGATACTGTAAATGTGCTGGATCCTAATGAGCATCTAGCATGGTAAAAAGGGGAGCTAAAAGAAACAATTTTGCCCAATTATCTAATTAACATGGATTTGACTTTTACTCTATTCAGGTTCATTTCTTTTGTGCTATTCTTTGCAAGATTATGTTTTCCATTAGCTGATTTTTTCTTTCTGAATTGCAGTTACTCAGAGACATACCGAAGTATGTGAAGATAGTGGAAGTAGGCCCAAGGGATGGGTTGCAAAATGAGAAGAACATTGTCCCAACCTCCATAAAGGTTGAATTAATTCGAAAACTGGTGTCTTCTGGATTGGCTGTCATTGAAGCAACGAGTTTCGTTTCACCCAAATGGGTACCTCAGGTAATTCATTGTAATTGGTTAACATGTAAGAGGAAACTTTCTCTTAGTTGGAGTTCAGATCTCCCATGCTGGAGTTAACTCTTTTTTTTTTTTTTTTTCTCACCATTGATCCAATGTTGTATCAATGGTGTAATAATGAGTCATTATTTTGCAGAGACATTGTGTCTTTTGTGACTACAGAACTTCCCTTTGAACATATAAAGAGTTACATTAACCTCTGCTGATATTTCATATGACCCTTTAGGAACAGCAACACATAAGAGTGGTCAACATAACTTTTAAAACAGGGATGTTGTCTGAAATAAAAGAAATTTAGAAGAGATTGCTTGATATGTCTACTAATGTGTCAAAGAAAATAAACTGTTTGCAGTATGTCATAGACCATTCTGAACTGCGTCAACTAATTGGCCTATAAAAGTATAACAATCCCTGGCTTATAATAGTGATGTCGGTAAATAGGTGCTGGATTGTATGATGACAGAATTATTAGTCCAAGTTTTGACTCTCCACTTGTGGGAATCGGTAAGGATAATTGCACTTCTCAGCTCATTTTTACATTACAAACACTTTGTTGGGAGCCTGCCATGTAAATTTCTGTTGGCAAATAGTATTGCATCGTCTTCATTGTCATTTGTGTGCTATTGTTTGGAATGCGCCCCCCCCCCCCAACAAAAAAAAAACACAAAAACCACCACCACCTTCTTTTTTCCTTCTTTAGTTGAAAGGTTCCTGTTGATATTTCTCTGACTCTTGGTTTTTCCTTTTCCCTTCTGAAATAGCTGTCAGATGCAAAGGAAGTAATGGAAGCACTGAAGAATTTGGAGGGTACCAGGTTACCTGTGTTGACACCTAATTTAAAAGTGGGTAATACATATTTAAAGTAGCTGGTTTTGCACATTTTTTGGCTGCTTCTTTGTCATGTTAATCTTTCCTTGCTCTTGGTGTTACTACCCTTTAGGGCTTTGAAGCTGCTATTGCTGCTGGGGCAAAAGAAATAGCTGTCTTTGCATCAGCTTCAGAGTCTTTTTCAAAATCAAACATCAATTGTAGCATTGAGGAAAGTCTTACTCGTTATCGTGCTGTCACCCATGCTGCTCAAAAGCTTTCAATCCCGGTTCGTGGGTAAGGGTGCTCTCTCTCTCTCTCTCTCACATCAACTCCCTTTAACACTGCTCCATAAGTAAATGACTTGCATAGACTGTAAAAGATAGGTTCTGGAGATTATCTCACTACTTTCCCATCATGAGCTAGTTTGCTCTGAGACTTGTATGCTTTTACCTATACAGTGTAATGGTTTACATGCATGTTGCATTTATGGACTTTTCTATATCAGGAGAACACAAGGAATTTTGGTTTTATATATCCAATACCAGAAATATGTCCGTTGTATATCTCATAGTTGACTAATAAATAATTCAGTTTTACATTAATTATAAATTAGCTCACCAGAATACGACTTGTAAATATCTTTTTTTTTTTTTACTTTGAGTGGGTTTACCTCAATCCAGAGATTTTGGTTGTATGTAATTCTAGGATATGCAACTAGGTAGACAATCAATTAAAAAGGTTACCGTTGAGTAATCCCTTCTTGTGTTTAATGAGCATTACCATTTTGATTGCAATATCTATAGAGAATTTTCTTGAAAGAAATCACCCCTCTGTTTACATAAACTGTGAAATGATTCACCTATCCACCTTGGTTGGAGCACTTTCAAATTGATGTCTCTACATCTTGTGAAAGTGTAAAGGAAAAGTAAAGGAAAAACAGTTAACCGTTTATATATGGTCCATCATTTCCTTGTAGTAAAAGATACTGTTTGTTGAAGTGTTGAGGAAAAGTAAAAACAGATGAGCTAAGGTGTATCAATAGTTGGAAATTAAGTGGTTAATAGTCATTTGATAATTGTCTTGAGTTTGTAATTTCATGTTTTTTATGATTTATACATTGAGAGCAATATGCTTAAAAATTCATGTACATATGCTTAAAATTGGTAGGTATGTATCTTGTGTTATTGGATGCCCAGTTGAGGGAGCAGTTCCACCTTCCAAAGTCGCATATGTGGCAAAGGAACTTTATGACATGGGCTGCTTTGAGATCTCTCTTGGCGATACAATAGGAGTTGGTACACTAGGTATCAGTTATACTTTAGCCAAATAGTATTCTTAGTTTATATAATGACTTCAAATACATCATGAGCTCGCATATACTGATTCACAATGTTGTTTTCTTTACCCATTTTCATGTTCTTCTTGTTCTTTTTCATTTTCCCTCTGCAACTCTGTTAGCCAACAGGATACTGAGTCCTTGTGCTATTATTAGCATTTCATTGACTGTGAATGTAAAATGTGCGAGTATAATGCAACCATCGTATCCACTTTGAGGCCCATTTGTTTTCTTTTGATTAACCTTGTACTCGTCTTAGTCTGTCTATGTAATTTAGACTCTGGAAAAGAAGTATTTTTGTCTTGTTATTATACTTCTATCACGTTCTGATCACTGAATAGATTAGGTTGTTAAATGGTTCCAGTGTTCAGACGAGTCTTGGCATCTCTAATCCTAGGTTTTGCACTGGACAGGATGTCCAGAAATAGAACCAAATATATAGTTGGGTTATCTTAAATGATGTGGGTCGGGGGGAGGGAGTGTAAGTGAGAGGTCCCGGGTTTGAGACCTTCCACTTACACTTAAAAAAAAATGTCTAAAGAAAATTATGTGTAACGGTGGTCTTTAGGGACTGATAAGTCATTTCATAATCTTTTCCCACACTTCTTGTCCTGAGAAAATAATTCAATTCAATGAACATTCTGTAATAGTTTTCAACTAGGGATATTAGTTTGATGACCAAAATCAACCATACATGGAATAAGGATTGACAATTTAATCCCGTTTAATTGCACTTATACCTTACTACTTTCAATAAACCAAACAAGCCTATCATTCTGCACCTTTACTATTGTTCCTTCTAACTTTTTGGATTAACTTATCATTCTTTGCCTTTTCACTATCTATTAATTTTTGCGCCTAGGTACTGTTCTTCCAATGCTTGAAGCTGTCATGGTAGTTGTTCCTGTTGAGAAGCTTGCTGTCCACTTCCATGACACTTATGGGCAGTCCCTTCCAAATATACTGGTGTCTCTTCAAGTAAGTTACCTTTTTTTAGCACGATAAATGCAATAAGCATAGATTTTGATATCATGAGGATTGCTTCTGTCCATTGTCGGATAGTTGGAATTGTTTCATAGTGGGCAAATCTCTGAGATGCTAATTTTATTTTGTCTTTGACCATTGAATGTCCGATGAAAAGGTAGGGTAAGGAAGTTACATCCAGAACTGAGGGTTAGACACACCTTTCAGGCTTTCCATAAGCGATAAATTTTAACAAGGGCACACACCCTTGCTCATACTTTCACTCCCAGTCAAGGATAAATCAAGTGTTCAGAGATGAAGAGTGAAATATCAAGTGTAAGAAAGAGAGAAATGATGTGTAAGAAATGGGTAGTCAGATAAATAATCCTGTACTTAGGTTGTTGAAAAACACAGATACTAAAAGAACTTCACAAGGCTTTTGAGTTTCTGCAGATGCAGAACATTAATGTGATATGCCATTGTCAACAGATGGGAATTAGCACAGTGGATTCATCAGTGTCTGGTCTTGGAGGGTGCCCGTATGCCAAGGGAGCTTCAGGAAATGTAGCTACTGAGGATGTGGTATACATGCTGAATGGCCTTGGCATAAAAACGAATGTTGATCTGGGAAAGCTCTTACTGGCTGGAGAGTTCATCAACAAGCATTTGGGCCGCCAATCTGGGTCGAAAACTGCAATTGCTTTCAGCCGGAAAACGGCAGATGCTTCAAAGATATAAGGAACATCACATTAACATAATATTATACTCTATAAACGATAAAGCAAGGGGGAAATTTTGTTTTCTCCTCTTGCATTCTGATGTGTCTAGTAAGACTACCATGTTTTATACGAAAAGAAACTCAAAATGAAGAGCCATTCATTGTCTTCAGAATCATTGTATTGAGATCAGTTATATGCATATACAAAAAGTATTAGTACAAGGATAGAAGAAAAAAGGACATTGTCCTCAGAATCATTGTATTGAGATCAATTGTAAGAAGTATAGTACAAGAATAGAAGAGAAAAGAACAGCTGCATAATGATATAGCCATGCCACTATGTTATGCTCCTCGGTGGTGTATTTGGTTTTTCTTTCTTTTTTCTGCTTCTTTCGCAATCTGTTTCTGGTAATGCAGGTGGTAACATTTCTCTGCTCTGACTTGCATCAAACAAGCTGGGAATTGGGTTCCAATTGCATGGTTTCACGTTCAGTTAATTTAAGTTCTTGTTGCTGACTTTGTAGTATTTTTGCCAATTGATGGAATATTATTAATGGTCCCCAAACTTGTACAAATTGATTTTCAACTATATAATTTTGTCTTCAAATGGGTCCTTGCCCAACACTGGTAACGGGTAATTTTCACCTTGGTCCGCCATGAAGTTTCATTTAATCTCAATTTCCTTTAGGTTTGTATATTAGCCACTAGAGTATTTCTGGCTGTGCTAATGCCCAATTTATTGTGTAAAAAATATTGAAAAATTTCTTGCCACGACTTGTGCCCACACAAATTGCTTTTAGCAACATGGTTGTGCGTGTATGAATTTTTTTTTTTTTTTTGTCAACACAAGAGTGTCCGGATCTATTCTTACGGGACCCAACTAATTCCCTACGGCCCGAGAGAGGAGGCCCCACTCCACACCGGTTGTGCGCGTATGAAAGATCTTCACTAATGAGCAACCTGGGCGTTTTCTTGCAAAAGTATTGATTTCTATAATCATAAACAAGAGCCTCAATTCTACATGCATAAAGCTCATATATGAAGAATAGATAGGAATAAACATCTTCTTGGCATGCAAATAAAAGAATCATAAGTTAAAGAATTTTTTTTTTGGAACCAAAGGTAAAGTTGAGGTACATGTCATCAATTACAAATTTGTACACCAAAGAATTTTCAACCTTCAAGTTTATTATCATTACACTTGCCTTTTTATTAAGATATAAACATAATTAAATCAAGATCGACTATAATCCAATGATGAAATGGCCAAAGCTATTCTGATGCATAGAAGAGGGTCATTTTTTTGCAAGTGTAGAGCAACAGCCCTTTAGAAATTGAGTAAATCTTATATACTCTGACAGTGTATATACTATCACCGTTCGATTCATGATATATTCAAATTCAAATCTTGTATAGTTGTCATTCATCCAACGCTGATAGTGTATACACTGTCAGTGTAGGAAAGATTAATCCTTAGAAATTATACAAAACTGGGAGGAAAATCACTAAGAAGCTGTCTTGCACTTTAGCATTATGTATGGCATCTTGTTAATTTGAATATTTATGGACTCTGCTGTTCAAGCTTGCTGGCGCTGATGGCTAATGGTTTCTGCAAATACTTGCTATAAAATGACTATTTGCAATTGAAGACATCTAAGTGTAAAGGAAAACATTGGTGCTCACAAATTGATAATAGCAGAAAAGCAAGCAATTGACACAAAATAATGAGAACCAGAAAAGGCAGGAGAAAATTTGATAAACTAAATATGGAATACCGTAAAGGACTACTTATTTGAATTACTGCTTCCGTGTCATCAAGCATGAAGACAGCATTTCTTGCCCCAAAACAATATCAAGACCTTTGTGGTGTCTCTGTGTGCAATCTCTTTGTGCAATCACTCTGGAGTTGGAATAGACATCTCCAGGGTCAAGCAATTTTGCCATTTGCAATGCATATGCATGTTCACCCATCATGTATATGTACATCTCAACCAAAAACAGCTTATTATCTCAAGTTTGACACAAACATTTCATCAAATGCTTGATAACCTCAACAGGTGATCCAACAGAAACAAATGGACATTTTATCCTCCAAAGATCCGAATAGAATTGGATAAGACAATGGCCATAGAAAACCGGTAGCATACACAAGAAACATTCAGAAAATCAAAGATACTAACCTGTATTAATAAATCCCAATCTTTCAATCAAAAGAGGATGCTGATATAACCCCTAGTATCTTAGGATACTAGTGTATGTCAAAATTCCAGTTCATTCCAGTTGGAAACTCAGAGATGGTGTGCATGACATCGAAGACATTTCAATTATATAGTATGTATTGCGGATGTCTTAACCAACACAGAGACACACCTAGAGGGAGACATGGAGCATACTTTGTGAGATAAGGTAGTAAGGAGGCAGATGGTTGAGAAGTAGAAACATTTTCTGTTCCATTTATATCATGAAGTTGGGTGACCATAAGATACTAGTTTTCATTGAACCTGTTTTCACAGGAGGATGTCCTATTCAAGGTTGGTCTAAGATTGAGGATAGCTCTTGATATGAGAAGTGTGGATTTCAGGGACACATGTTGAATTGATGGAAGGCGAACCCTGAGAGTGAGTATAAACGTCATCAATATTAAAGGTTAATAGCAGCTGGCCATAATTTGATTGATCTAAGGTCGTTAGATGAGAACCATTTGATCCACACATGGATGTGACATTGGGGCAGGATAAATGCTTAGAAACAGGCATAACTCCACTACTATAATTTTCATGATCCTTCCTAATCATGTTACTATTTGGATTTGTCATAGAGTGGAGGTTGAGACCAATTAGATGAGTGTTATTTCCTGAGGTCTGAATATCTGCATATGCACTGTCAGAATGCATATGCATTGCATTAGCAGGATGAGCCTGAGAAAACAGCAGGTTTCTTGATAACTCTTCACATTGTTCTATTATGTGAGAGCTGTTTGGGTTCCTTTTGAATGAAGTCTCAGCATTGTAACATTCATCAAACCATTTATCTACTAAACTAAACCTTTAACTTGGATTCCTTTTTCTTTTCATCTTAATGACAGTAGCAGTAAGGAAATATGACTAATTGCAGCTAATGAAGAGTGTAAAACTAAGTTATATATATGAAGTCCAAACTGCTAGATACAACCAGTTGAACAAGAGATACAAATGTGAGACTAATTGTATGAATTTGTCGTATTCGACGAATGACAAATCAGAGTGATTAAATAATAAAAGGCAGAATGTGAAGAAGAAAAGTGATATAAAGCATACATTCAGCAGAATTTAACGGTTAAATAGCAGAACATAGAACCTGTGAACTCACAACCTATGAACTTAATACTCATACGGGAACTCATGGTTGCAGAACTTAGAACCCCAGTTACAGCAAACAGAAAATTATCCAATCTAGAACCCAGCAGACTTTCGTGGTTAAATACCAGAACGTAGAACCTGTGAACTGACAACCTACGAACTTAATACTCATAAGGGAACTCATGGCTACAGAACTTAGAACCCCAGTTACAGAACTCCAATTACAGCGAAGACAAAATTATCCAATCTGTTGAATACTTGTAGGGCAAACAATTAGCCAAAGAGAAACAGTAATTACCTTTAGCAGGAAAGCTTGCAAATGTAAAAGTAGAAGGACCATGAAGCTGAGCAGTATTGCTTCCTAATGTATAAGGACACAAACTTTGTGAGTTGTAACTCTTGATCATTTGCCAACTGGCCAACAAACTGATAAATAGAAGTAACTGAACAAGATACACAAAGTCACAAACTAATTGTTTGAATTTATCATATTCAACTAATGAGACTGATTAAATACTAAAACAAAATGCAAGGAAAAAAAACATTTAAGTGAAACCAAACGAAGTTACAACTAAAAAACTATCACTAACTTATGAAACACAATAAAAGTTTTGGAGAAAAATTGCAGCACACATTGAAAGACTGAAGAGAGTGACCTGAAATTGAAACAACTGTTGAATAGAAATCTGTGAACGCTGAATAAGAAGTTCTTATGCATCAATTCTTTCACAGTGCAATTAAATCCCTGTAGAAATTTGGCAACCAAAATAAAAAGTATACAGAGTATCCAATCTCTTTAATACTCGTAGAGAAAAAAAGGGTTAAAAACAAAAAAGTCTCCTATGGTATACCTAATACACAGAAAATTCCCCCATGATTTCAAAACATACAAAATGACACCTCATGTTTCAAACTAAATTATAAACTAACAGAATTCGTTAAATTTAACGAAAATGACGGTCTCGGCCTTTAAACTTACTGGATTCCGTTAAGTTTACCGGATTCTGTTAAGTTTAACATTAAGTTTACCGAATTCCGTTAAATTTAATGAATTTTGTTAGTTTACAATTTAGTTTAAAACATGACGTGTTGTTTTGTATGTTTTAAAATCACGGGGGATTTTTTTGTGCATTAGGTATACCACAAGGTACTTTTTTATTTTTAACCTAGAAAAAAATTAAACACAAAAAATGAGTAGTTACCTTTAGTAGGAATGGTTGCAGAGGAAAAGAAGGAAGAAGCGTGGAGTTTTTTGTGAGCAGTATTTGTGTTCCTAATGTATAAACATACAAATTTTATGAGTTGTTAAAGATTTTTCTTTCATTCTTGATAATTTGCCAACTGGCCAACAAAAAGGAAAATAAAAGGACAAACCTATATCCCTAACAATGCTATAAGCCATCATGAACACAATAGATAATGACACAAAGTTGATGAATTGTTAGAGATTTTTCTTTCAATCTTGATAATTTCTCAACTGGGGAACAAAAAGGAAGACAAAAGGACAAACTTATATCCATAGTAATGAATAGAAATCATACTTCATACTTAACTCTTTTTGGAACAATCCCACGGTTGAGATACGGATAAGCAGCCATAATTTAGGGAAAAATCGTCAAATTATTGACCAAGTGGTGGAGGAGTTCAATTGGTATTTTTGTTCCTCTAAACTAAAAGGAAAAGAAAGCCATCATTTAGGGGAAAAAATCATCAAGTTGTTGACCAACTGTTGGAGGAGTTGAAGCCGTATTTTTCTTCATTCGAACCAGAAAGAAAACTAAGGAGAAAGAAAGGAATCGAAAACAGAGAGAGAGCAATAGAGGAGAAAAAGTAGAGCTGAACATGAAGACAATGAAATTTACAAACATATTTGTTGTGGTTCAAAGATGAGATAAAGTGCGATTCGGAATCACAAGGGCAAGCGTAATTTAGGCAAAAAACTCATCAAATTTTTGACCGTTTGTTGCAGTAGCTCATCTGCTATCATGCTTCTTCTGAAGCAAAAATAAAAC